AGAATGTTAAGCACAGTCACCCCTGATCATGCCTTTTTGCACATGCTCACGGTCATGCCTAATGAAAACTAATTATAATTCTTTATAATATATCAGTAGAGTGATAAATCTGACAACAATTATGTTTTTTTCACAAGAACATATGCATGAAAGGTATTCGCTTTCTATCTGTCTTGCTCACTCACTCAGAAACACAAATTAACACTGATGAACCTAGCTTCGATAAAATGTCATTACCTCGAAAATCTACACGGTCATTCTCGGTCGAGTTGATATGAACGTAGTCGGACACGACGAAGGCAACCAGGTAAGTGGACATAGGGACACTCTTCTCGTAACGATCCCACATCCATCCCTCCTGTCCTTCACTGTTGGATTACAAATTCAGTTTAATCAAAAGATGCATTGGAAGGTATTAAGACATATATCTAAAGTATAGAATAACATTTGTATTATCATGAAGTGCTACTCACACAGGCACCGTTTCGGCAATGGGCATGTTGGAGAGGGTCGTCATCCAAGATTCCCTTGCGAGGTGAATTTCAAAGGTTGCCTTCAGTGCGGGCTCGTCGAAGCAAGGGAAGGCCTTGCGGGCGGCGGTGGGCTGGAACTGGGTCGCAGCCGCATTTCTGGACGGAGATTATAGCGATAATATGCAAATAGTCTTTAGTATACTATGAAATGGGTACAGTTACAGACAACAAAGGGATATTCACCTGATGTTACCATAAACATCCTTGTAGGTCGCTCTGTAGAAGCCATGCAGCTTATTATTAAGATAACCAAGGAACTCCATGGACAGGATGTACCTTTTTCCCTTCTGGAGCTCTTTCCTCAAATGGGCAATGTAAAAGTGACGACTATGGTCATACTCGTGTTTCTTGATCCTCAAGCCTCGGGATGTTGCTTGATCTGAAACCTGAAACAGAAAAGAATTTTGAAACTCCTGTGTACTATCCCAAAGCTTGTGGAACGAAGAAACCTGCTTCAGTTGTTAAACATTGTCTTGTTCAAATGAGCTACATCTACGTTATGTATCAATATTACCCAATACTATATTGAAGCTCATCCCTACTTTTACGGTGTCGTTTTTAGTGATGATATCCGATATGTGGAGAGTGATGTTGGAAGTGGGTTCCAGAACCTCCATCTCCACCTCCATGTAGCCGACGATGCTGAAGTTGCCATTGATGAAGGGTTGAAGTTTGACCACATAATGGAGCGGCTTAATGGATCGAGGTAGTTGTACGTCCAAGTCTACAGGTCCCAATGATCTAGATGCCTCAGTCTGTCAAATATAGACATAAGCAGTTATGGTTTCATTTGCTAAGTGGAAAACGCCAGTGTTCTTAAGAAATAAACATCATTTAAGGAAATATTCCATAATAGACATACAAAGTTCTTGTCTTTATGTTAGCGCCGTCAGACGTTCCATCAGTCGAGGTAAAATTTAAAACCCAATAATACTTTTTGTATGAAAAAGGGCTGTATCATTATCACGGCGCCTACAAAGAAATTAACTACAGAAGCAATTACCCAAGTCACTGGACTAAAGAAAGTAAGCAAAAGAAATGAATGAATTGTACGCGGCCAATTACCCAATAGTATATTGAAGCTCATACCTACTTTTACGGTGTCGTTTTTAGTGATGATATCCGATATGTGGAGAGTGATGTTGGAAGTGGGTTTCAGAACCTCCATATCCACCTCCATATAGCCGACGATGCTGAAGTTGCCATTAATGAAGGGTTGAAGTTTGACCACATAATGGAGCGGCTTAATGGATCGAGGTAGCTGTACGTCCAAGTCTACAGGTCCCAATGATCTAGATGCCTCAGTCTGTCAAATATAGACATAAGCAGATATGGTTTCATTTGCTAAGTGAAAAACGCCAGTGTTCTTAAGAAATAAACATCATTTAAGGAAATATTCCATAATAGACATACAAGTTCTTGTCTTTATATTAGCGTTGTCAGACGTTCCATCAGTCGAGGTAAAATATAAAACCCAATAATACTCTCTGTGTGAAAAAGGGCTGTATTATTATCACGGCGCCTACAAAGAAATTAACTACAGAAGCAATTACCCAAGTCACTGGACTAAAGAAAGTAAGCGAAAGAAATAAATGAATTGTACGTGGCCAAAGTCAAGAAAATATGGCTCGGTTTTGGGAAGGAGGAGGCTGGAGACCCTACCATTGAAACCTAGGACAAGGTGCCCAAGGATGACTTCTCGAGGGCTTTGAACATCAGAAAGTGTACCTTAGGGTCAAATCCACGAACAACAGTAAGATTTCTGAGGGAGAGCAACCCAGACATGCACACCATGTCATGCGCCAGAGTTAATTTACATCTGACTTGTATCAAGGATGAAACCTCTTCTATCAAAGGCACAGAAAGATCGCAGGGTTGCCTTTTCCATGAAATATCCTATCTGAAGTGAGGGTGATGCTCTCAGTGATATGGTTAGATGAAGCTACCAAGGCCAGCATTTTGCGGCAAGATGATACTCCAGCCCATACAGCAAAATCTGAGACCAAATGACTTGAAGACTACATGGTATATTTTTATAAAGGATTGGTCGGAAAATTGCCTGGACCTGAATCCTATTGAAAGCCTGATATAGGGGAACGATGCTATTTCAGTGCCCAAGGTTGAGGCAGCCATTTTTAAGTCCTGGGATAATAACCCACTTTATACAACCAAGAACCCTGCTCTGTCACTTTCTAGATGTCTTCAGAGAGTAAAGATGAAGAATGGCAACACTGTCAAGAGAGGCCGTTTATATTCTCATCCAAGTAAACAAAGGAAGCACATGCGGCGCTAGACAACCACACTCTGGATGATATCCTGTGAAAGTGAGCGGAAAAAGAGTCGAGGAAATGAATGCAGCCCGGTAGACGGGTCCCTTTTCTATCAATATGCTCAATTAAAGAGAGAAATATCGTAATTTTGTGCGAAAAGGCGGTTTCCAATCTTTCTCGTAGTGTCAGGTCGAGCCCATTGCGATCGCCACTTTCACCTTTTCCAGTTTGGAAAGTTGGGTCATTGTTATCCAGTTTTTACACATTTGACGATAAAAGACTAAATCAGACGTGTTCGGCTTTAGACAAAGAGAATGGAAGAAGACAGCAACATCTCAGATCCTATAGGCACTAAAGAAGGATGCGCGCGCGCGCCTGTGTGTGTGTGTGTGTGTGTGTGTGTGTGTGTGTGTGTGTGTGTGTGTGTGTGTGTGTGTGTGTGTGTGTGTGTGTGTGTGTGTGATCAATGTATATACAGTATACATGTTTACATGCACAAATAAATATACATACATTTATACCTGTTCAAACAATGTAAGTATATGGTTAACGCATGTCATATTAGGCTACAACCTTTTACCAATGATGTAGTCGGTTTCGGATTGACTGAAGTTAAATGACAAAATGGGAGCATTATACTTACTGTAGTGGTCACCCAAGGTGGAATGGTGACGTCATCAACATTAGGTAAACCCTGGGTGGCGTGACCGAGGGCGAGCAGAACAAACAGCAGCATCCTTACAGCCTGAGGCAGAAGACACTTATCCGGGCACAGTGCGGTGCGATCCGTTGTCGGGATCTAACTGTGCGCAGGGCTGCAGTCGCGATGGAAGAAAGGCGATGGGGCGAGGGAGAGAGAGGGGGGAGTGAGAGGGAGAGAGGGGGAGAGGGTGAGGGAGCACCTAGATTTTTGACGTTTATCGGTAATACCCCTCTAATATCATGCAAATAGACCTATAAGTTTGGCACCACGTCAGCTGATAGATTACATTAGCTCCACATTAGCGGTTTTAGATATCACTCAAATACGCTGGGCAGTAACAGTGAGCAGAATTGCTACGTGTTTTTTTTTCGTAAATAGCCTAGCCTTTTGCCTGAGTTCTGTTGCTGCTTTTGGTTTGTGTGTTGTGATGGGTGGAGGTAAACATCTGAAGAGTGATGAGATTGCTGCTATTGCAACACTCTATAAGGCAGGAAAGTCCATTATAGAAATATTAAATACAACTGGAATTTCATTGCGAAATGTCCAGAGGCGGACAACAAAATTTCATGACTGTGGAGACACTGACTCGCCACTGCCGAAAAAGCAGCCAGGGAGGCCACGGAAAACATCTAAACGCACATTAAATGTGTTCAGGAGGCAGGTGAATAGTCAGCCACGAATAACAGCACCAGAATTAAAAGAAAGGAACCCTGTGTTACTGGTTGATGTGTCTGTGAAAACCATATAGCGACGGCTCCACAATGACTTGAAATTTTCCTACCGCATCGCTCACAAAAAACCAATTGTCACCCTTAAGCAGAGGCAAAATAGGGTTGTTTTTTGCAAGAATTATTTTCAATGGGACGAGGACAAGTGGAAACGAGTATTATGGAGCGATGATGAGTTAAACTGGAAACAGAGACGGCAAAATTTATCGCCGCCCTGAAAGTGATCCGTGTGACCCGAGATACATTCAAGAGACATATATCCAGATAAATTGATGGTGTGGGTGACTTTGGTTACCACGGTGTGGGGACATTGGTAATACTACCAGGGAATGTTTTGATGAATGCAGACATATTTGGAGCTACTGCGTGATAATTTGGAAGATTGCTTTGAGCGGTGCCAAACAGACGTGTTTATGCAGGATGGTGCACTTTGCCATAATGCAAAGCTTTAAATCCTATTGAAAACTTGTGGGCACTAATGAAAAACAGATTACATGAGCATGATACCTCAATCCTCAAGCTTGAGTCAGCCACCACAGCACACTGGCCAATAACAGCAACAGTACGCATGCAAAATGCTAGGCTATTCACGAAAAAAGCACGTGGCAATTCCGGGTGGGAAAGCAAGATCCACATACATTTGATGAGGACTCTATGATAGAGAGAGTACGTGTGTGACAGTAGTAAATTGTAAGTGAATGATGGAATTGTTTAGTCAACAAAACTGACTTTTTATAATATTAGCAGTATGCTTTCAAATTATTCA